TTATGGTTGCATCACTTATTTCCTTTTATTTCCTCTGACATTATAATTATCCTTTCACTCTCCCTGACCTTGCATGTGCCCAGCTTCACCAGTCTCTTCAGTCTGAGTTTTACATTGAGATCTTATATCCATTTACCTGGGTATAAGCTCTTAAACTCTCCTTAACCTCATTCCAAGCAAGTGGGGGGTAGAATGTGTCTTTTCCTCCTCCTCTTCTCTGCAAAGCCATTTTTATCTCCCTATGTAATCTGCAGTTTTATTTTTGTGATAGTATAATGGTCATAACGCCAACTCATTCACCTGGGGCTGTCTAGTCACTGACATCAAGAAGGCATAAGAGACGTTTTTATAGGCATCCCATTTCTCTCATTGTCTTTGGAGATTAGGTGTGAACAATTAATGCTACCAGAGCAGCACATGCACCACTGGCCCTCTAGTCCAGTGGTTCTCAACCTGTGGGTCGGGACCCCATTTGGGGTCGAGTGACCATTTCACGGAGGTCGCCAAACAATGCAGTCCGCCATTTTTTCCCCCCTTTCCTTAGCTGTGCTACTCCCTTTTATTCTATTGGCTTTTGAAAGCCAATAGAATAGACTCTCTTGAATAGAGTCTAATTCTATTGGCTTTCAAAAGCCAATAGGAGTTGTCCAGGCTGTCTCTGCCCTGCTGAGCCCGCCAAAAGTCCCATTCTGCAAACGGTGCTGCACCAGTTGAGTAGTCCTCGACTTACGACCAGTTGAGTAGTCCTGGTTGAGAAACACTGCTCTAGTCTTCCTATAACATTCCGCCTACCCAATACCCCTCGGCTAAGATGGAACAGTGTTCCTGGCAAGGCATCCTTTCTCCTTTCACCACTACAGAGACAACCAAGCCCCTCTCTATGCATTTGCCTGGCCACGCTCCATGGTCACAAGGTTCCTTTGTATCAAATTATTTTTAAATAATTTGATGTCCCAGCACTGCAGCTACAATATATCAGGACAGACTTTGCGAAGTTTCATAAAACTATCTGAAGTGAGTTGTCTCCTCTGGAGTGTACCCTTTCTGCTTCCTTCCTGGGAATCTGATTCACAACATTCCAGGAAGCATTTCTACTCTAGAGTAATATGAAAAAAATAACAATCCTATGCTTTAAATAGTCTCTGTGGGGTTTTTTTTGTACTAATATAAAATTTTATAACTTCACACGTAAAGAGTTCACATTATTGTCTTCTATATTGTTAAGAGCAACACTTAGAACTATGGTGCTTATTCTCTGGAGATGGGCAGTTTAATGGTTCCATTATATAAGATTTCAAGAATAAACTTGGCAGCATAAAAACAGTGGTGACTATGCCATTCCAGAAAGCATGTACATCAGCCAGAGGGTGACATAATTTTTATTTTATAAAAGGAAATACTTGCCTTTCTTCCTCTGCATCAAAAGCAGCACTTTCCAACAATCTGTTGTCCCACTAGCATTATGGGGAATGCCTCCACTCCCATTGGCTCATGATGCTGGAGCAGGCCACGCCCCTCCCCTCTGGTCACCCTCCTCCGTGGCCATTTGGTCTCGGGCTGCTGGAAGCTTCTGGTTTAGTTTTAATCAGGCCACAGGTGAAGCAATGAATCTGGCGGCTTTTTGTGTTTTAACCAGCCTATTTAGAAGCAGTTAAAGCTTTCTTTTCTACTCTTTCATTTTTTAAATTATTTTTAGATCTGGAAATGTCCTCAAAGCAGAGAAATGGTGACAAGAAAAGAGGTAGGGGCAACCAGTGGAGAGGAACACAAGGAGAAAATATATAAAATCAATAATAAAAATAATGAATAAATAAACTAAAAAAACCCAACCAACAAAAAACTCAAAGGGCAGGCTTTATGGACTATTGAGTCTTTTTCTGCTATCAGTTTTTTATATTTTCGATGTGTGTCTGGTGTGAGAAAAAGTGGTTGCACAAGTGAGTACAATAAGAAGCAAGCATCCCCCAAACTAATTTCTGACAACAAAAAAGAGAAAAACACATTACCCCTTTTCTCTCCCAGTATGGATGTACTTCCCTGTTCCCCTGAATTAGAATCCATTCATAATTCTGACTGATTCAAATTGTCCAAAGAAGGCTTGCTGGAAGAAGTCTCTCTTTGGACAGAGTTAAAGGGCTGGGGATGAACCAGAGTTTGTCAGGTTTCTCTTGAAATTGCATGGACATTTTTCCCCTCTACCCATCAATGGGCATGTACAGGAAGTCCTTGGCTTACAACTATTCATTTAGTGACCATTTGAGGTTATAATGATATTGAAAAATGATATTTATGAACAGTCCTCAGGACCTTTGCAGCATCCCTCACAGTCACGTGATCAAAATTTAGGTGCTTGACAACCAGCATGCATTTACAATGGTTGCAGCAACCTGCGGGGTGTGTGTGTGTCATATGATTGCCATTTGTGACCTTCCTATCCTGCTTCTGACAAGCCAAGTTAATGGGGTAATTTGCTTAATGACTGTGAGAGTCACTTAACCATGGCAAAAAAAAGATCGTAAAAACTCACAACTCACTTAAGAACTGCCTTGCTTAGTAACAGAAATTCTGGTTCCAACTGTGGTCATAAATTGAAGACTACCTGTATTGTGCTCATTGATAGCAAGTCATGGAGCAGAGGAACTGGACTAGATTGTCTCTAAAGTCCCTTCCAGATGGATTGATCCATGAATAGTTATAGTTTGCACTCACAAACTGCACGTCCTTCTGCCTGCTTAAAGAAAAGTAAGCTATTGGCACTTATTTTTCCTGGCCAGACGGAAAGGGTAAAAAAGCAAGGAAAAGGGGGTGAAGGTTTGTTCCCTGAGCTTGTGGGTTGGTTTCCAAACATTTCATTATCAGGCTAGGTAACATCTTCAGCAGAGTTTAGGGGATGTCAATTCAATGGTCTATTTATAAGGGTTTCAGGTGTGGGTGTGTCAAGTAAGGGTTTTGTGATGGATCGAGTGCGAGTCATCAGTGTGAGACTTGTGATGGGTCTTGTTACTGGGAGATTACATTAGGTCAGATGTTACCTAGCATGGTAATGAAAGGTTCAGAAACCAACCCATTCGGAGAATGAATCTTCACCCTCATCCTACTATATACTCCAGCCTTGCCACTATTGCAAAGCAAGGAAACTCAGCAATTGGGAAGGTGGGACAACAGTTGTCCAGTAAGAATACCTAGCCAGAGTTATTGCCAACGCTTGAAATCTCAAACAGAAATTTCCTAAGATGGTGTTATTTCCAATCAGTGTCAGCATAGGAGATAAGCAGCTTAAGGCTACTGTGCAGAATTGTCCTGACTGTCATGAAGAATCACAGGAACTGGATCTATGCTGTGAATGGACTAATCCAATCTTTTCGGGGGGGGAAAGGGGGAGAAAAAGGCCCATTTGAGTCAAAACCCAATTTAGATACATGCTTTAAAAAAGTTTAAATACATACAGGTCTGTAAGTTGTGGTATTTGCATCATGACGCATATCTAGTCAATTGCCTCCCACGTGTGTGTTTCTCTCTGCCTTCCTCTCTCCCTCCCTCCTTTTCTCTCTCTCTTTCACATTCACACACACACACATAGAGAGAGAAGGAGGGAGAGGGAGAGAGAGGAAGAGTGGGAAGGAGGGAGAGAGACGGGGGAGAGAGGGAGAGAGGGAGGAAGGGGGAGAGCTATTTCAGTGAGAATGAGTGTGCCTGGCAGCTATTCTTGCACGTTCCTGGGCAGAGCTCAACTAAGCGTGAACTAATTCCATGTTTCATTATAGGAACAGAAAAAAGTTACAGAAACTTTGGATGCCTTTCCCCAGTACCATCAGTTTGCTCGAACATTATTTTTGATTAGTGACATTTCTCTTGATTTAGCAAGTCATTCAATGACAGATTAATAAAGTTGCAGCAAATGAGAGCCAAGCCTCCTGCAGCATTTCCTGATGTACTTGACATATTTCTACTGATGCTTTTCCAAGAATAGATCATCCAAGCAAAAATTATTGTTAAGAAAAACAGAGTAAACCCATTTGCTATTATGTCAGTGTAGCTACAGACTATAATGGCATTTTAGGAGGAGGGAGCAAATTAGCTCAAATAGTTTCCTTTAAAAAAAAAAAGTCTCCCAAAGGCTTGATCTTAAATCAGTAGTAATTTATACTGTAAATCTTACTTAGAAATCCTATACCCAGGGATCTAAAGTACAATTTTACTGACAAAGGTTAATTCCAGACACTCCATGCAGGACAATTAGCAAATCCCTTCAGCTGTATTGGCAAGTTCTATTGAATAAATGCATTATTTTGCATTATGGTACCGGTCTTCATTGTAATGGATAAATTGATTTTTGTAGCCATTATGCTCTAATGGCACTGGGGACTATAAGCCAGCTGCCCAGTCTTCCAGATCTACTGCTCAAATCTTTGCTACTGTGAGCTATCAGAGAAAATTCAGATATTGGAACAAGAATATTGGCAGAATTTGTAATGTGTAGAACTCATACATTTTCTAAGTCATTCTGTATCACATTATCATAATGCCTAGAAAATCATAATTATATGCCTAGAAAACACACACATCCATGTTCTTAATGTGATTTATAACACCAAACTAAACACTCAGTTTTATTCTAAATACAATGGTATAAATTCAGTCAAATGATTTGATAATTATTTATCAAATATAAGCAAGATACTACATATAAATAGAGAACAAATCCCACTCCCTCCTAGCACTGATCATATTACCAAGTCAGGTAATGTTTTTGTAATGTTGTTTTTCGTGTCTTGTGTTTTAATTTGTTCTATTTTATAGTTTTTTAACATGATTTTAATTTTTAATCTTTGATTGGGAGTTGCCCAGAGTTGGCTGAAAGATGGGTGGCTATATAAATGTTTTAAATAAATAATAAAATGCCTGCAAGCAAACCATCAAGCTCAGATAATACCAAGGATTCCATAGTTCAACCCTGAGCTGCACATATTTTCTTAGTAGTTATTTATTTTCACATGCAAATAATTTATTGGTTCCTTTTCTGCTTTTTTTTTTAACAGATGGTTTATAAGGAATATGCATTTAATTAAATTGCAATTGTAGCACTCTTTTGAACTGTTTGTGAACCTCCATGTCTCGTTGCTTCCAAAAGCGAGTACAGGGACAAGGGAGTTGAAGAAGAACTGTAACAAGGATAGCAGTAGTATTTCCTTGCAGCTTTTTGGCACTTGACCCCAACCTCCTCCTTATGAAGATCTTCTTTGCTTCTGTCTTACTGTCAAAATAAAACAACGAACAAATGAACAGAACAACGAACAAATGAACAGAACCCACTGAGTAAATAGATGCGGGCAGTAACAATTTTCATTAGGATGAAGACATAACAGAAAGGATTGGAAGAACTTTTTTTTCCCCTTAGTCCTGGGCTGAAACACTGTGCAATATGGAGCCTATCCTCAACGTGACACCTTTTTTTCTCATACAAAACACAGTGCTGGTAAAAATCATGGATATAGTATGTTCTAGTTACAGTTTAAAGGTGAAAATGCCATTGAACTCATCTTTTTCTGATGAACACATGGCCACATCTATGCAATTTTCCTGACATTCAATTCAAGAGGGCTTTGTCATTGCTTCCTTTTCTTTTGTATTATTTTCTAGCCTGGCCTACAAGAGTTTCCTGGGTTTCCATCTGTTGATCAGGAACTGATCTCCTTAACTTCGGAGCTGAGAATGGGTTGCCCAGCCTAGACACAAGATGGTTCTTTTTAAATAACAAGTCTGTTGTGGCACCTTAAATAATTCTATTCCTAAACTTAGAGCTTAGAAATTCATCCAAATTTGGTGAGAAGTTTGCAAAGATAAACAACCTGGACTCTAACTTCAAAAATTCCCTGTGTGCATGCGATTGGCATCAGCTTTCCCTGTTGCCTGCACAGTGGAGGAAAAAGGAGAGAAGGGAGAGGAAAGCGGGTAGCTGAAATATGTGAAAAGGTAACCCAATCCTTGATTAACTATGCCTGTGAATAAATACTTCAGAAGAATCTGTCCTTCTGTGGGGAAAAAAAGACTTCCCCACCTCCAGCTCCATTCATCTGACAAAGTGACCTTTGTGGTCTGAAAGCTTACACCACTATGCTGGGCAGAACATGGAACAAGGGATGTAAGTGACAGGAAAGCAGCTTCCAGTCGGATGTGAATAAAGAAATCAATAGTGGAACCAGTTATTTAGAAGCACTGGGAACTTTGTGTCTTTGGATGCCCTTCAGCAGAGGTTGGGTAGTCACCCAAATTAAGGTGTATGCTTTAATTTGGTTTCCTGGGGCAAGTAGGGGGTAGGATTCAGTAACTTTAATGCCCATTTTCCAACAAAAGAATCTTTGGGTTTGGGTGATGTGTTCCATTCCATGCAAAGACGGCAATGTTGCTGAGTTGATGGGAGATTTATCTGGCCATGCTACAAGCTTTGAAGATACAGAAGCTAAAATAAGATTCTATTACCAATCCAGATTATTCCTGTAGATGAAGTAAGGAAATGGCAGTGCCAACTTGTTCTTTGCTTCAGGCCTTCCCAGAGAAACCAGGACACTGTCTAAAACTTGTAGGACATTTCTTTAAGGTTCAAATTGTCCATGCTGGCTGGGCTTTCTAAGAGTTGTGGTCCAACATTTCTGGAGGACACCAGGGTGGGAAAGCTGCTCTATTGTTAGTTTGATTTAATTATTAAATTTGTACATTTTGTAGTTCCCAGCAGCTGGGAAGACACGGAAAAATAACAATACAACAATAAAGACAAAAGGGACAAAAGGGACAAAATTTGACTAAACCAGGCAAAAAGAAGAGACATACCCACATGAATTAGGGCTTCAATCAGCCTAGCCAAAGTGCCGGGTAAGTACCAGATCTTCAAGGCCTTCCTAAACACCAACAGGGTGGGACTCAACCATATCTTTATGGGAACACCATTCCATGTAACAATAACCAGTCACAGCAATTTCCTTTATAGACATTCGGGGGGGATCATAACCAAAACAGCTTGTCTTTAATTTATCTTCAGTGAAATTCCAAATTCATTTTAGAAATGGCTATCTCTATATCATAGGACAATATTATCCGGATTATGCAATATAAAGAAAGTTCTGTCCATTGACTCTTCATATACATCCTTCCAATGAAGACAGATCCATTAGGACCCAGATGCGGTTTCAAGACATATGATAATACCATATCCCTATTTCTTATATGTTGGCACAGAATACCTAACAGATCTTGAGAACACAGAGGAAGCAGTTAGACATTTAACGAAGGAAAGAAGGCTGTTAAAGAAGAGATTTAAAAGTTCAAGGCAGGAGAAACTCATAAAAGAGAAACTTGGAATAACCACACTTTAGTTCCACAAAATATGAATTGCATGGAAGAATTATTTTGGGAGCCCTCCGTATTTTGTTACATTACCCTACTAGCTATAAAGATCTTTTCAGAAATCCAACTGATTTTTTCCCCCTCAGTTTGCCAGCCTTTCAGGATTAAAAGATATTCATCAAAGTTTCCACTAAGCTTGTCAAACAGCATGTAACTTTGTAGATGTATTTCTGCAAATAAAAATGCTTTGCTAGAAGTTAGAGAAAGTATATGCTTACAAATGTTCTTTCAAGTGGCAGGAAGTAAAAACATCACATGGGTTACACCACTGATTTATAAAATAGCTATGCGAGCTGCAATAATTGGTGGCTGTGCAAAGGGGTTGTATTCACACACATATGTAGACATGGAAAAATGGTAGTTGTGGACCTGCTTTTGGCCCCATCATGAATTTGACCATCCAGCTGGTAGGAAGTACGAACTGCAGGAGTCTTTTTTCCCCCATTTCATTTCATAATGTATAAAGCTGCCTATTTTTCACAAATGACTTTGGGCAGCTTACAAAGACTGAAGTATAGAAAACCCACCGCATACCAGTTGCAGCACCTTGGATAGCCCTCTTATTCAAAAATCCACACCAATAACAACAAAGCTCATCTACCTACCTGATCTATATACTTGGGGAAACAGTCAGGTCTTCAATATCTTGCAAAAGGTTGGAGCTATCCATATCTGAGCTAGCCCAGAATGTTTCTATAATCAAAGAACACTGAGAGATCAAGGAAAGTCAGGACGGATGCACTATTCCCCATCCTGAGCCCTCTATAGATAACTGACATGTGCAATCAGTGGTGTCTCAGGGCTATAAGCAGGCCAGAGTCCTGACTGCAAAAGATATATTTGATGTAAGTCTCATGTCTGGAAGAAGTGTGGGATTTGAGGGTGTATTCCAGGATAGGCATCTTTGGGAACAGTGAAATGATTCCAGACTTTCAAATTCCTTCACAACTGAGGTGCATAGCTTCTTAATTAATTAAAAAACCCTACAGGTAAAATACACTTTCTTCTTCCTCTGAGTAGCAAGAATAGCTTATGCTATCTTATCTTTGACAGCATATGCTATCTTGGTAGAATGTTTACCAAAGGTGGGGGAATGAAAAGAGAATATTTAGGATGTGCAATTGCTAGTGGAAAATTAGTGGGTGATACATGGTCTGTTCCAAAGAGTGAATGTTTGTCAAAAGACCTCAGTATGATTCTAGACTAGAATAACAGAGTTGAAAGGGATCTTGTAGGCCATCTAGTTCAACCCTCTGCCCAAACAGGAGACTCCATGCCATTTCTGACAGATGGCAGTCCAGTCTCTTCTTCAAAGCTTCCAGTGATGAAGCTCCTACAACTTCTGAAGGCAATCTGTTCCATTTGTTGATTGTTCTCACTGTCAAAAAAAAATTCTTATTTCTAGGTTGAATCTCTCTTTGACCAGTTTCTATCCGTTATTCCTTGTCTGGCCTTCAGGTGCTTTGGAAAATAGGTTGTCCTCAATGGTGGGATTCAAATATGTGAACAATGGGTTCTCTCTGTGGATGCCGCTTCTGGAAGTACATTCTGGGCCTGGGTAACAAAAAATTAGCTACCGGTTCTGCCGAAGTGGTGCGAACTGGCTGAATCCCACCACTAGTTGTCCCCCTCCTCTCTGTATCAGACCCTCAAGTATTGGAACATTGCTGTCATGTCTCCCCCGTCCTTCTTTTCACTAGATTAGCCATGTCCAGTTCCTGTAACTGTTGTTCATATGTTTTAGCCTCCAACTCTTCTCTGCACTTTTCCCAGAGTCTCAACATCTTTTTTATAATGTGGTGACCAAAACTGGTTGCAGTAGTCTAGGTGTGGTCTTACTAAGGCTTTCTACTAGTATTAGTACTTCATGTGATCTTGATTGAATCCCTCTGTTAATGCAATTTAGGATTGCATTCGCTTGTTTGGCTGCCATTGCACACTGTTGGCTCATATTTAATTGATTGTCCAATAAGATTCCAAGATCCCTCTCATGGTTACTGTTATTAAGCCTGGTTTCACTCAATCTATATGTGTACATTTGGTTTTATTTGCCTAAGTGTAAGATTTTTCTCAACACTGAATTTCATTTTGTTAGATAGGGCCCAGTGCCACGCTTGGAATACTGCATTCAGTTTTGGTCACCACGATGTAAAAAAGATGCTGAGACTCTAGAAAGAGTACAGAGAAGAGCAACAAAGATGATTAGGGGACTGGAAGCTAAAACATATGAGGAATAGTTGCTGGAATTGGGTATGTCTAGTTTAACGAAGAGAAGGATGAGAGGGGACATGATAGCAGTGTTCCAATATCTCAGGGGCTGCCACAAAGAAGAGGGAGTCAAGCTATTCTCCTGAAGGCAGGACAAGAAGCAACAGATGGAAACTGATCAAGGAGAGAAGCAAACTAGAACTAAGGAGAAACTTCCTGACAGTTAGAACTATTAACCAGTGGAACAACCTGCCTCCAGAAGCTGTGAATGCTCCAACACTGGAAGTTTTTAAGAAGAGACTGGACAGCCATTTGTCCGAAATGGTATAGGGTTTAGTGCCTGAGCAGGGGGTTGGACTCGATGACCTCCAAGGTCCCTTCTAACTTTATTATTATTATCGATCATCGCACAGTCAGCCAGATGTTCAGACTGGATTTGGCATTTTGTCTACCTATCGAGTCCTTACCCAGGACCTGGGATAGGCAGATGTGGATGTTTGATGGTATTACAGGTATCGTCGCAGGATGGAAGCAGTTCCTAATAAGGCCGCCTTTTGCAATTGACTAATAGCAAATTTGTCAATGCCAATGGTGTTCAAGTGGTGCTCCAGTTGTTTTGGGATTGCGCCCAAGGAGCCTATTACTATTGGTACTACCCTTGCTTGCTTTTGCCACAGTCTTTCTATTTCTATTTGTAGGTCTTTGTATTTTGTTATCTTCTCCAGTTCTTTCTCTTCTATTCTGCTATCTCCAGGCACTGCCACGTCCACTATCCAGACTTTTTTGTCTTTCTTATCGACAATTGTTAAGTCTGGGGTGTTATGTTGCAGGTGCTTGTCTGTTTGAATTCTGAAGTCCCAGAGCAGTTTAATTTTATCATTTTCTATGACTTTCTCTATTTTATGATCCCACCAGTTTTTGCTTACAGGCAAATGATATTTTTTGCAGATCTTCCAATGCACCATTGTTGCTACTTTGTCATGCCGCTGCTTGTAATCAGTCTGTGCAATCTTCTTGCAACAGCTTACCAAGTGGTCCACTGTTTCTTCAGCTTCTTTGCATAGGCGGCACTTACTGTCTGTTGCTGTCTTCTCAATTTTGACTTTGTATGCATTTGTCCTTAAGGCTTGGTCTTGTGCAGCCAGAATTAGTCCCTCGGTCTCTTTCTTCAATTTTCCTGCTCTTAGCCATTGCCAGGTTTTATTATTATCTGCTTTCCCAGCTATTTTTTTCATGTATTGGCCATGTAGTGCTTTGTCTTCCCATGCCTCTATTCTGTTCTTCATTTGGTCTTTCTTGTAGGCCAGTTTGGTCTCTCCAGTAGTTAGTAAGCCTTCCTGATATACTAATTTCAGTGCATCTTCATCATTGTTCTTCAGATATTCTTCCAAAGCCATTTTTTCTTCTTCAACCATCTGATGTACTTGTAGCATTCCACGCCCACCTATTTGCCTTGGTAGATAAAGTCTATCAATGTCACTGCGTGGATGAAGGGCATGATTCATTGTCATTATTTTTCTGGTCTGCCTATCCATTGCTTTTAGTTCTGCTTGAGTCCAGTCCACTATTCCAGCTGTGTACCTAATGACTGGGATTGCCCAGGTGTTGATTGCCTTTATGGTATTTCCTCCATTGAGTTTGGATTTTAAGATCTTCTTCACTCTCTTGATGTATTCACCTCTAATCTTTTTCTTGACTTCAGTGTGCTTGATGTTGTCAGCTTGAAGGATACCCAAGTATTTGTAGTACTCTTCCTCATCCAGACTCTTAATGTTATTTTCGTGGGGCATCTTGATTCCTTCAGTTTTCACTATTTTTCCTTGTTTGATAGTAAGTGTGGCACATTTGTCCAAGCCAAACTCCATTACAATATCTTGGCTATATATACGGACAGTGTTGAGCAGCGATTCTATTTCAGATGATGTTTTTCCATACAGCTTCAGATCATCCATGTAAAGGAGGTGGGATAGTCTGGCAGATGTTTTTGATGTTTGATAGCCATGTCCTGAGTTATTCAGTATTGTTGACAGAGGAAACAGTGCAATAACAAATAGTAATGGTGATAATGAATCTCCTTGAAATATTCCTCTCTTGATATTAACCTCTCCCAGCCTCTCACCATTGATCTGCAACTGTGTCTTCCATTGTGCCATCGATCTTTGCACAAATTTTCTGATGTTTCTACTGACTCCTGTTATTTCTAGGCACTTGATTATCCAATCATGTGGCAGAGAGTCAAATGCCTTTTTGTAGTCAATCCATGCCACATTCAGGTTGGTCTTCCTTCTCTTGCAGTTTTCCAAGATCATTTTGTCTATTAGGAGTTGATCTTTTGTTCCTCTGCTATTGGGGCGGTTTCCTTTCTGCTCAGGTGGAAAGAGATTGTTTTCAACTAGATGCTGTTGTACTGCATCAGCTACCACACCAGTTAGTAATTTGAAAGTTGTTGGTAAGCAGGTAATTGGCCTGTAGTTACCTGGTGTTGCCCCTTTTGCTGGATTTTTCATTATTAGGTAGGTTTTCCCAGTTGTTAGCCACTTTTCAATTTCTCCTCCTTGTAGTATATTGTTGAACTGCTTGGCAATGAGTGGGTGTATAACAGTTAGATGTTTCAACCAAAACCCATGCAGTTCATCTTCACCTGGTGCTGACCAATTTTTGATTTTCTTTGCTCTTTTTTCTACCATTTTTGTTGTTATTACTAGTTCTTTCATTTCAACTTCTGTTTTATTTGCATCCACCTCTTTTAACCAAGCTGCATCCTTGTTGTATTTCTTTGGGTTATCCCATATCTGCTTCCAGAACTGCACTGTTTCTTCCTTGTCAGGTACTGACTGATTCCTTGCAGTTTCTCCATTGATGGATTGGTAGAAACGTTTCTGATTGGATTGAAATTGGAGGTTCTGCCTATAGTTTGCAATTCGAGCTTCATATCTACTGATTTTCCTGGCTATAGCTGTTATTTGTTGCTTTATTATTTCCAGTGCTTCCTTGATCTTCCTTGTTTCTAAGTGGTATTTCTTGATTAGGTATTCTTTGGTCTTCTTGTTCTTCAGCTTCTTTTCTTTCATCTGTTCTAGCTTGCTTGCATGTGATCTTAACTTGCTGATCTTATTTTCTAGTCTAACCTTCCATTTTTGTGGTGCACTGTTTGTTTGTTTTTCTTTTTTGTTGATTTTACATCCCAGGTATTCTGTTATAACTGCAGCTGTGCTGTACATTAGTTGGTTTGTTTCTTGCAGTGAATTGGTGCTTATACTTGCTATTGCAGTATTTGCATCTTTTAATGCTTGTGCTAACTGTTTCTTTGGAACAAGCTTCAATGCAGGCAGCCTTATTCTGTTGTTTTTGTGCTGTTCTAGATGCTCATTATTATTATTATTATTATTATTATTATTATTATTATTATTATTATTATTATTATTTTTATTATTATCTGTATCCTTACCCTATCATCTATTCCTGCCAGCTATTCCTGCCAGCTTAGTATCATCTGCAAATTTGATAAGTTCCCCTTCTATTCCCTCATCTAAGTCATTGATGAAGATATTGAAGAGTACTGGGCCTAAGACAGAACCTTATGATACCCCACTGCTTACATCCCTCCATGTAGATGTAGTACCATTAAGGACTACTTGTTGAATATGGTTTGTCGCCATGTATGTATTACTGCCCTCTTTGTAATGTGACAGTGAACTGTATACAATTTACAAAAGATATAGTCTGTAGCTACAGTATTTTTAACATAAAACCATTTGGAACTAAAATATTGCATTTAATCAGATCTGTTTCCTCTTTTAGGCTTTTGCAATTCAGTGAACCAACCATATAAATGGAAAAAACCCAAACCTTAGTATGAGAACTATCTGCAGGATGCACTAAAACTCCAAAATTCATAAAATTGTGGCAATTAGAGCCTGGATGGCTTTGCATTGTGGAATACAAACATTTTATTTAATTCAGTCCAATTTACTATGTGCACATTCTTGAAAATAAACAGACCAATTGGGTGCCCTGCATGGAGCTCTACTAGCAACAGACGAAACCAAACCCAGTGCTTGAATTAGCCCTACCATTGTGGCTTTCTTTTCCTGTTTGTTTTAAACTCGTGTAGCAATTCTGATTGATGAGCAGATAACAAAATCTTAACATGGTACAGAGTTTTTAGGAGCTTTCTTTTGATTATTTAAGATTTCCTGCTTATGTTATTTTGAACAGCATATTTAAAAGACAGTGAACTATAACTACAGGATTATTTTGAATTATTCCCTTTGCTACCTGTTCATTCCTCATTCTTTGAGGTAGATTTCATAGACCGAACTTAGTGAAACTTATTTCCAAGGCAGTTCTTAGGAATTTACTTCTATTTATTGTCAACCTAGCAAACAAGATATGAATAACGTCTTAGATTGAGGAATATATGAAATAATTCTTAAAAAGATTATACATCCATAGTTAACAGGAAGAAAATCAGTGACATACTATATTCAGTATTGTACAGAACCAAATCTTAAAGTCTTCAACTGCAAAAGGAGGAAAGAAAATATCTATCACACTCAATTAGGTTGTTGATACTTATACAGTAGATGAACACCATTTTGTGATCTTATACATAGCTCTTCAGGAATAAGTCCCAATAAGTTCAATGGGATTTTATACCATGTAAATATTTACAACATAGTGACCCACAGCAGTCCTATGGCTCCAAAAAGAGAATTTCCTCAACAAACTAACCCATTCCTAAGGGAGAAGACGAGTAATTGTTAGTTTTCCTCATCTGTAGCATTAGAAATGGGATCCTCTTCAGCTACTAAAGAGCTGCATTCTGGAAAATTCTAGGGCTCCATGAGAATTTAATGGAGTTCTATCTCTCTACAGTATATATAATATCTTTATGTATCTATATCTGTACCCATACACATGCACACACACACACACACACACACACACACACACTTGAACATAGCCATATGCAAAAGAAAAAAAATCACAATATATTGATAGCTGCGAGAATAGCATTTGCCCAATATTGGAAAAATCAAAATGTACCATCTGATGAGATCATAATTAGGAAAATTCTAGAATGTGCAGAAATGGACAGACTAACCCTAGAGATTAAAGAGAAAGAAGACTCAGTTTATTTTAAAACATGGGAAATTTTTTATCAATGGTTAGCAAAATGAGTTAATGAAAAATGATTGTGAAATTTATTAAGATGATTGATGTTTTTTAATTAATTGACATGCTTCATAATTATTGCTATTTTTGTTGACTACAGCTACTTATTATTATATTAACTATTTCCACTGAATACCTGTATCTGGACAATAGCTAAAGCTAGGTATGTCATTGGGGGAACCCCATTGTTGTACCTACCCCATCCCTAACCCCATCCCAACCCCTTCCCTGAACCCTACCCTGAATCCCACTACCTATATCGACCCTCTTCTTCCCTTACCTTTATAAAACTTAATAAAATATTGTTTTAAAAAATCACCCATAGCTATCATTTTTGTAGATCAGGAGTTCTGGAATTTTTGTTGTTGTTGTTGTTGTTTGATTTGATGTTTCTTTCATTACCGTTTTCCTTTCCTTGAGCTACCTTAATCCCTGAGTAAGTAAGTCCCACGTCATATCATTTTCTAGTCACTTGAGGTGAAGGGTTTTAATCCACTGAAATCCTTTTGCCACAAATAACTGGAGAAATTATGAAACAGTAATTGGTGGACATTTTAAAAAATGCTCAGGGAGAAGTGGTAACTTGGGGAAAGAAAAGCAGTAATTAAAACTTTTTCTGCTTGGTTTCAAACTAGTAAGTTTCAATCCACAAGGGAAATGTTATAACCGCTGCATTGTTGTAGTATTGCAAGGAAAGATAACTCTACAAAATATCAGAGAACAAGAAAGGAGTTTTAATTTAAAGCTGATCATTGCTTATCCATCTACAGGTAGGGTTTGACTGTTGTTAACCACCTAGGGTTTTATTGTGTGAAAATATCCATAGATAGCCTAAGTAATCTTCAAGTTTTTCTAGCTTATTGATGAAAGTCATAAGGCAAACATATGCATCTGATAAGTAACATAATGCATAATTTTCTCTTGAAATGGATTTTTCCAACTGATTTAAAATCTATTTAAGTCAACTTTCTAACATATTTACCAGCTTAACTATTCTTGGGTATCAGTTATATCATGTGTATTTCACTTAAAAATATTTTTCATGCCAGCCTATTTTCAATTCTCGGTCATAACCATCAGGACATGCATCAGCATGTACTCATATTTTTATTTCTTCTCCTTTCTCCTTTTGCCTCTTTTTGATTGTAGAAGAGATGCTTATTCTAAAATAATGATGATTCACTGCCACTCTATCTGTAAGCTATTTTCTCAGATTGTTTAAGAGTATGTAATTCACATACAGACAGCAATCCCATTGTGGATGTTTATTAGACTCTCTTGCCCAGAAACCTTTTTCCTCCTCCAAGGCATTTAGAAGAGTGTTTTAGCCTTACAGCCACTCTGAAGAAGCTGCAAAATGCCCAGGGCTAATCAGTAAGCTTCAGAGCTGAGGAAAGATATAGTTCTAGACATCAGATGTCTAGCATATATCAGACTGTGTTGTGAAAAGGAATAATAATTTAAAGACAGCTCAAAATACTTTTCTCCAATTATTTTGTTCCACCCCCTCCGCAGAAAGAGACACGTTTCTTTACAGATTTTAAATGAAGCCAGACTGATCTGATTTAAATTATTGTTTCAATAGCAATTTGGAATTCCAAGTTGATTGTAATAATTGTGATAAAGGGCTGTTAATTGAAAGATGTCAAAAAAATACAAAATAAAATATATGTGCATGATATATGTGTGTATCTCTTGTAAATACAGCACATAAAATATATAATATGTGTGCACACAAACACACACAAACACACACACAAAGCAAAAAATCCTGGATTCTTTTAATAAATTATTCTACAAGAACTGACCTTCCTATATGCTTCTACAAGCAGGAGTCCTTTGAAATTATCCCATTCATCCTAAGATGATGGATGTACCCTCTTCTAGAGATCTTTATTGGATGTAATTACAGTATATGTGAACCAAAAATGGTAAAAGATGGCAGTCACTCAGAGAAGCATGCTTTTTCAATCTGCATTTTAAGATTTGACTAAGAGAGAACCCTTGCCAGGTAAATAATACTGAAACAGAACAATGGGCTGACATGGCGTAAGGCAGCTTCCTAGGTTCCATCAGTTTAAGTGAATTGAATGTTGGCCAAGCATGATTAAATCACACTTTAATTCATATTGTTACTGTGTTCATCTAGACTAAGAATCAGAGTGATGTGGTTTCTTTGGATTTAGTTTTTTGTAGTGCATAAACTTAGTTTATGATTCTGTTCCTGCCTTTGTCCACTAATTCTACAACACAGAGTACGAGAGTGATGTCTACTAATAGAATAGAATAGAGCTGGAAGAGACTTTGGAGATCTTCTAGCCCAGCAGGAGAATCTAAACCATCTCAGACAAGTGACTGTCTAGTCTCTTCTTAAAAATCTCCAGTGATGGATGGAGTGCCCACGATTTCTGGAGGAAAGCTGTTCCACTGGTTACTTGTCCTCACTGTAAGGAAGTTTCTCCTTAATTCCAGGTTGCTTCTCTCTTTGATCAGTTTCCAACCATTGTTTCTTGTCCTGCCCTCTGGTGCTTTGGAGAATAATTTGACACCCCCCCTCTTCTTTGTGGCAGCCCCTCAAATGCCGGAATATTGCTATCATATCACCCATTTCTTCTTTTCTTTAGACTAGCCAAACCCAAGTCCTGCAGTCATTCTTCATATGTTTTAGTCTCCAGGCCTTTGATCATGTTAGTTGCTCTTCTCTGAACTTTTTCCAAGGTCTGAATATATTTTTTTGTAGTATGGTGACCAAAATTGGTTGCAGTATTCCAGGTGTTGTCTCACTAGGGTTTTATAAAGTGGCATTAATACTTTGCATGATCTTGATTCTATGCCTCTGTTTTGTACTGGTCCATTTACAAGCAATTAACAATATTTTCAGTTGTGACAACATTCCCCATCACTTAAATATAGAATGGACAGAACTGATAAACATTTTGTCAAAGTCTTCCTGCTACCAGTTAGATATCAAATATGTTTTTTTACCATGAATTTCTCTGGTTTGAAGAACCAATCCAATTATGAATGCAAAGATTCCATGTAGGAATAGACGAGAGCAGAAGGAATGGTTGTGACTTAATGGATATTTGATGCTAATAATAGCAGCATTCTTTGGTCTTAGAGAAATAAAGAATGTTAACTTCACAGGAAGTTGTCTAATCTCTAAATCAATTTTTCCCATTACCTTTTTCTCCATTACCATGTCAGTTTTTGATACTGCAAGAATAGTTATTAATCAATCTAACTGAAGCATTTCTGTGCCATGATCAAGGAGATTAGACACTCTTATAAATACACTGAAATAGGATTTCAGTAAAGCTGCTTATCTTTTCCATAGTAACAATTACCAATTACCTGCCTAAATAATTAGGATTAACAAAATTTGCCATCTCCTCTACCGGCATCTTTCTAGTTTTCTGAGAGACTTCAGGAGATGTAAAAAGTGATAAGATGACTTGAGCAATAGGGAATAAAACCAGAGGTAAATATGGCTAATTACTAGTAAATTCTCATAATTTAATTATTTGGTGACAATGAAGGTGATAAAATATCTAGTGATCTCTGCCCATATTCCATCTGCAGATGTCAAAGGCATCAGGTAAGGATGGCTGGGATGTCTGTAAATGGAATGTCACAATCATTTTGAAATTGATGTACTGATTATCAATAGGTTTTGAGACCCAGTTCAAAGTGCTGGTTATTATAATATTTAGAAATCCATACATGGAGTGGTGATAGAATGCTTCAAGGACTTTCAGTCCAAACGTTAAAAGGAGATTTGCACTGAGTTCCATCACAAGTCAAAAGAGCACCAGCCAGAGCAGTCTTTTCTGCTACAGCCCTCACATTGAGGAACAAAGTATACTGGCCATTATCCTTCTATTATTTTGGAAGGTGCTCAAACCTTTTTTTTTGGGGGGGGGGGCCAAAGGGCCTTTGGCCGTCTATAAACTTGTGACTATTTAATTTATTGCTTAATGTTTTTAATGTGGTTTATGAGGAGGGCTAGTTAGGATTTTGTTTGTACACAGATAATCCTGCAAATATTAACAGTTGTACAAATTTGTAATAGGAGAGATAAACCCTTTCATATGGGAGTTAGGCCACAAGTGAATTCGGATTGTAAATGTCAATATTGTTTCCTTTTAACCTTAAATTGTGCCCAGTGATCAACTGGCAAACATTTATCTCACATCATTTAGCATTTTGTTTGCAATGTTCAGATACTTTTCAAGGTTAATCCTTCATTCAATATATTGTTTCACTGATAAAAAGGCCAACCACAGAGTTTCCAGTGAACCAGGATTCTACAGTATATCACCTTGGGGAAAACTGGGAAAGAAAATACCTGAATACTGATATTAACACTGAATTTTAAAGATTATATCCTATATAAATACTAAAATATAATTCTAGCAGTAACCTGCAGTATAATAGCTACTCAGTTATATTACTCTATATTCTTCTTTTTCTTTCATTTTGCTGATTTTATAGAAATAAATTGATGGTTACTCTTCAGTTCTTGTTTTAGGTAGTAAGGCCTGCATCCAGATTCTAACTTCTGTTGCAACAGAAGGCTATTTGCAAATTCCGTAGCCTTGGTTTTTAATAGTAAGAG